AAATTAGGTAGGTATTCCATCATTAGCAATTTTGTGAGAAGATTTCTCTTGAAAAATTAGAAAATTCAAAATATTATTGCATACTTACATTTGTTTAATAATAATGCTTATTATCTCAATTGTGGGACTTTCATTTTCGTCTCAAGATTTTATCTTTTATTTTCTGGCAATGACTCGAGGAGATAGGCTGGAAAGATTCAATTTGTAGTCAATCTTGATACATGGATACAGGCAATAAATGAAAGTTAATAAATTAATTTGTCCTTGAAAACAAAGATAGATGATAGATTAGATAGACAGATAGATATTGTGTAGAAACATATTCATTTTAAAAAATGTTGACAGATTTAAAGATAGATAGATAGATAAACAATGGAGGTATTCGTTACTGGTCAGTTATAAAAACAGAAGATATTTTTTGGTGCATCAGTATTTGAGGACTAAATAAAAGTCTTAAAATTTTTGTGCTACGCCTAGCTTTCGAAATATTTTATATTTTATCTTCTTCTTTAGGGGCATACGTTTTTTAGAAATTGTTAGATTCTCAAATACCGATACCTCAGAAAATATCTTCTGGGGAGGTTACAGGCTACAGGCACCGACCAAGTGGCCTCCGACGCCGTTAAGCCAGGAGATAGGCCAGAGGAAATAGAGGAGGGCTCCTCCAGTTCCGAGGACTAAACCTGATCTTCCCCCACCCCTGCAAGCGGCCAACATCTGCTGCTGGTAACTAACTTAACTAATTGTCAACCTCCGGTTCGATCGTTAGGCGACCGTGTATGATTTTAAACATATAACGTAATCATATTAAACATACCAATAAAATTTCTACAGGCAAATTTACAGCACGGAAAAGCATCTTCTGCTGTCCTGTGCAAAAGGCTCAACGAGCTTGACATTTCCATTGCCCTGATCCAGGAACCCTGGATTTTCCGTGGCGGGGAGAGGGGCTTGAGCCTGGCGGGGGGCGCGCTACATTGCTGCGTACCCTGTGAGAACCCTCGCGCCTGCATCCTGACAAGGAGCGTGCAATGTTCGCACCACGGCCTATGGAGCTGCAGAGACGAGAACTCCAGGGGACGCTCTCTGGCTGGCTTCCTGAGCTCCAGCGGCTTGGAGGTCCTTGATCGGGGAAGCGTCCCTATCTTTTACTGCAACCGTGGCCAATCTGTGATTGACCTAACCATCTGTTCACCAAATATTGTGAACCTTTTTAAAGCATGAAGAGTGTCCCTGGAGGTCTCAATGTCGGACCACAGGCACATTCTCTTCGAGCTGAATAAAGACACCAGCTGCGACAACCCAGTCTTTAGAAATCCGAGGCACACCAAATGGGACCTCTTTCGGGAGGAGCTCACAGGTGGGCTCTCGGATATGCCGGCAAGGTATAACCTTCCAGCCGACATTGAGATTGGGATAAACAAACTGTCCAGCGCAACTCTCCGGGCATACGAGGGTAGCTGTCCACTAAGACTGAAACCCCAATATGCAAAAAATGTCTGGTGTAACCACACTACGGAATTCTATCAGAACATCACGCGCCGGTTCTTGAGAAGGGCTGAACGCTCCAAACTCGTCGCCGATTGGGAAGCGTTTCACGCAGCCCAAAGGCAGTACAAAAAGGCGCTCAGGAATTCCAAAAGACAGAACTGGAGGCAATACTGCGGGGATGTTGAAAAAATATCCCCAGCAGCTCGCCTCTGCAAGGCTCTGTCAAAGGGACCCGGTAGTAGAATAGGGTCTCTTCCGGACGGTGGCTTCACGACCAACGAAAAGGAAACCCTGGAGGTCATGCTCCGCACGCACTTCCCGGGCTCCAGTTCAAACAACGCTGTCTTGGCCGGCGTTCGGGCCTCGATTAGCGCTGGGCACGATACCGCCAAAAAAGTAGTAAGTTATGAGAGGATGATATGGGCGATTAAGTCCTTTCCCCCCTTTAAATCTCTTGGTAAAGATGGAATCCACCCTTGCCAGCTGCAAAACGCGTCGGATATCATCACTGTCCACCTGGTAAATATCTTCAGAACTTGCCTCGCTCATGGATACATTCCAGAGCAGTGGAGAGAGGTGAAGGTCGTCTTCATTCCGAAAACCGGACGGAGCGACTACTCCGACCCAAAATCGTATCGACCCATTAGCCTCACTAGTTTCCTGCTCAAGACTCTGGAGAGGCTACTAGACCGGTATGTAAAGGAAGGCATACTGGTTTACAGACCTTTACACACCCAATAATACGCCTATTAGACTGGCAAATCTACAGAACTGGCCTTGCACCACCTGGTCAGGAAGGTAGAAGGAAATCTGGCTTGTGGAAGGGCCAGTCTGGCGGCATTCCTTGACATTGAAGGGACATTTGATAATACCCCTTTCAACATCATCTGCGGTGCCCTCGAAGGACGTGGCTTAGAGCCATGTCTGGTGAGATGGATAGAGGCCATACTCTCGCAACGCCGAGTGTCCGCAGAGCTTAATAATGCGGTGGTTAGAGCGATGGCCGCCAGAGGCTGTCCGCAGGGCGGAGTTCTATCCCCCCCGATTCTGTGGTGCCTGGTGGTTGACGACCTGATTACTAATCTAAACAAGGCAGGCTTGTATACTCTATGCCGACGACCTGATTATCCTTTGTCCGGGTAAGGACGCCGTCTCACTGCAGGGCCCTATGGCAAGGGCTCTGCGCATAGTGAACCAGTGGTGCCTTGCGGAAGGATTCAGAATAAACCCTAATAGGGCGGAGCTCCTACTCTTCTCCAGGAGACGCAACTTCGGCACACCGCCCAACATTTCTCTGGGAGGTGTGACTCTTAAGTACTCCAGGGTGGTTAAGTATCTAGGCGTGATGCTGGATTCTAAACTGTCCTAGTATGAACACGCAGAGAACAGGATGAAAAAGGGTACCTGTGCCCTCTAGGGATGTAGACGAGCCTTTGGTTGCACCTGGGGTCCCTCACCGAAGATCCTTTACTGGATTCATAACTCTATAGTTAAACCTCTTCTCACGTACGGGGCTATCGTTTGGTGGCCTTGCACGGAGAATGCCAAAATACGGGCGCAACTGGACAGAGTCCAGCGCCTTTCCTGCCTCAGCATAACGGGGTCCATGCGTACGGCCCCAACAAGGGCCCTGGAGACCCTCCTAGGTCTCCCGCCTCTGGACCTCGTGATTCAGTTCGAGGCCATGAGGACAGCCTATAGATTGCACGTCCTCGACGAAATGCGCACCGGCGAAACCGGACACGCGAGAATTTGGTCTCAGGCCGCAGAGAAATGTCCTGTCCTTCTGATGGGCAGCGATATCATGCGACCGGAGCTTGTTCATAGCAAAGGCTTGGAGGTCCATATCACTGAAAGAAGTGAATGGCTGGTCGGCTCCAAGCCAACTGTACTGAATAGTGGAGCTATCTGGTACACGGATGGCTCCAGAATGGATAACAGGTCAGGGGCAGGTTTTTGCGGAGGGTCCCCTAAAATTAGTAAATCCTTTTCTTTGGGGGAACACGCTACTGTCTTCCAGGCTGAAATTTTCACTGTAATGGAGTGTGGTCGGGAAATTTTAAACCGGCCCCACAGGAATGCAGTCGTTTCAATCTACGCCGACAGCAGAGCCGCTATCAAAGCCATTATGGCTGACACTGTGCGCTCTAAGCTTGTACTGGAGTGCAAAAAAGTCCTGGGAAGACTGGTGAGTGCCGGCTGCCGGCTGCCGGGTCCGCCTCTTCTGGGTGCCCGGTCACTCGGGTGTCGCGGGCAACGACGAAGCTGATTTACTTGCCAGACAGGGATCGTCGATGTCACCTGTGGGCCCTGAGCCCACGCTGGGCATAGCCAAATGTGAGGCTGTCACGTCCCTCAAGGGTCTCCTCGCGGAGCGATTCCTTGGGAGACGGATGGAGGCACCTGGCATGAGGCAGGCTAAGGCCCATATTGATGGACCCTCTGCCTGTCTCACCAAACAACTACTGCGCCTGAACAGACGCGAGATACGGCTAGTGACTGGTCTCCTAACCGGACACTGGCACCTAAGACGCCATCTCCACAGCATGGGCATTACGGACGACCCGGAATGCCGCTGGTGCATGGAGGAGGAGGAGGAGACGGCAGACCACGTCATCGGTGAGTGCCCTGCACTCACGCGCGCGAGGTTCAAACACCTGGGCAAGTTGTATTGCTTGCCCGATGACGTCAAAAGGATGAAGCCAGGGTGCCTGATTGGCTTTTCTAAGGACATAGGCCTCTGGTAGAACTCATTGGGGCACGACGGGCCCACCACAGGAGATCTATGTGCATTACGGTCGCGGCCGCCCACTCTTTCATTCAATCATTCATTCATTCATCTTCTGTTTTGATAGATAGATAGATAGATATTCTCATTATTTATTTTTTATTGTCCTGAACCAGTGGTGTATCATTAGAAATTATTTTTATTGTATAGAAACTTCCATAATAATTACCTATTATTAGTAACACGTAAGGTACGATTGACTGAGCACTTCAAAAAACCTGATTTATCACTACTACATAATATCAGTTATTACCATAAATAGAAATTTCTATAGGTGTAAAACTTACGTTTTTGTCTTTTGTATTTATTTTTGGAGAAAAAAATACACAACATCAGAGTGTGTATGTTATTGAATAGGGCAATTAAAAACTCAACTTTATTTCCAACAGTTTGAGTGTTCCAGAGTTTGCACCCATTTCCTAACAACTAAAGTTGGAAATTTTGTTCAACCGCTAGCTGTTCCTTTGTAGAAAATATAATATGCATATACCTATTTAATAAAACTGGAATTATTTATTACAGTCCGAATGAAAAGTGTATTTCAGAGAAGGAGTAACCAACAACTTTTTGCTTCTAATAATGCGCTTTTAAAATGTAGTTCACTAATACCACCTCATGCATCGTATCGGTACGTCAACGCTCTATTACGTATTTCATCTAATGATAATCATCAATTAAGTAGTTTTTTAATTGTGTCATGACTCGTGAACAAACAAACAACTTCAAGTCGCAAATGTCGATTTGGATTTAGTGTTTCGAAACATGGCAGACGTTAAACTTACATCAAATCAAGAAAATCTCGTGAAAGAAGCGGCTAAAAGTGAGGGTTTCGTTGACTTTGATATTTCGGCAAATGTTGGTACTATCAAAGGTGATAATTATTTGGGAATAATACATTCAGTGACTGTCAAAGAAAAAAATGACGAAACAAAAGTTTTGCATTTGATTTGTAAAAGTGCTTCTGTGATAGATAATTTTAGAGGTATGATGCCCATAATTAAAATGTTTAAACGTGAAAGAGACTTATATGAGATTATTGGTAAACTTAAGGAATATCAAAATGAGAAAGCTCTATTGCGACCATTCGATGGTGTAGCAAAGTTTTATGGCAGTTGTTTAGAGGAGAAAAACGAAACCATTTTAATGGAAAATTTAAAAAAATATGGATATAAGTTATGGGATAGAATGACTCCCATGAACAACGAACACTTATCGGCAGTGTTTGCAGAGTACGCAAAATTTCACGCCCTGTCTCTTGCATATAAGCATCAAAACCCTGACGGATTTGAAGAGCTTTCCAAGGATATAAAAACAGATGTATTTATGGATAATGACCAAGAAAATGGGAAAGAAAAGTTTGAGAAGTTTCTTGAATATCATTTCAAAAATGGTTTGAAAGCGGTCGAGGGAAATGCCAAAGCTACTACGGAGCTTGGAAAATTTCGTGAAGTTATTGGTCAAAAGTTTGAATTATTGAGGATGTCAGAGAAAGCTGTGATTACCCATGGCGATTGTTGGTGCAATAACATATTGTTTAAATATGAGGTAATTTATTATTGTAATTGGACACTGAAATTATTTTATTTTCTACTGAACTATTATAGATTCATAATACCTAGTAACGAAATACGTTAACATATCTATAACAACCTGAGGGCATTATAAGCCCAGTGGGCGTTATGATCCATAACGCCCGCTTATAACACCTCGAGGTGTTTCTGTTATTGTTGTTTTATTAATTTACACTTTACCCTAGGCAGCAACTAAATGTCCGACCGAAAATAATTTTCGGTCTGGTCAGGATTCGAACCCGGTCAACCATCAACGTTTCCCATGTAGTCAAGCGCGGTAACCCGCACGATTACCGTCGCCTTGCTTTATAAGATGTTTATAGATATATTAATTTATTTCGTTTCTAGGTACCAGGTACATGTCAAAATACAAAACAATAATCTGTCACACAAGTTTTACTGATTTTTTTTTTATACTAAATTGATGAAAGAACATTGTGTTCAGTAGAAAATAATTTTTTTTTAGATTAATGCCCTTGAGGCGAAATATATCCCTCGGGCCAGAAGCCCTCGGGCTAGTTTCGCCTTCGGCCATTATAATCTACATAATCCCCTTGGTACATAAATAGCTATTATACTATTTTTCAGAAAAGTAACGCTCCTAGCAAGGTATGCTTCATCGACTGGCAATTGTCAAAGCTTGGATCTCCTGCTATGGACCTGACTTACTTTTTGAGCACATCTGGTTCCAAAGAAACGTATCCAAACATAAACAAGTATTTAAAAATATATCATGAAACATTGTCTCAGAATCTGCAAGAGCTCGGTTGTAATCCTGAAGAAATCTTCAGCTTTGATGACGTTTTGGATGAATGGAAGAACACAGCATGGTACGGAGTGTTCATTGGCATGATGATGTTGAAAATTATGCTGACTGAATCAGAAGAAGTTCCCGACTATGAAAATTTTAATCCCGACGATATGAATTCTTTCAATTATGAAGCTATTAAACGATCGGCAGATTTTAAGCAGAGACTTTGCGATCTAATTGAATTTATGGCCGATTATGGTTATTTATAAATACATTGTGAAAATTATTTAAATAAAATCCACAAAATATTACGTATTTTAATTTTAAATGTATATCGTCATAGATAATAATATTATTATCAGGAATATGTTTTCATATAGGTACTTAACTGACAATGAGGTCAGATTAGATATAGGTACCATTCAAATTTAGTGGGCACCTCAAATAAAAATAAATCAGGTTAACATAACAATGATGCCTTTTTGATTATCATTCAGCGAATGCAATCAGGTGAAAAACTGATAATAATGAATTATTATCAGGTAATTAAATAATTAACCATGAAAATTTTGAAAATGCCACAACTTTGTACACAACAATATGTATTGCAATTCTTAAAAATAGATATTGTCTTGTCCGCCGTTGCAAACAACTACACGTTGCCTCCGGTCAGGCAATTCGAATTTGGAAAATAAAAAAACCATCACTTCCACATATCAAAGTTTATTTTTACAACATTGGAATCAAACATAACCATCCAATAATAAAAATTATTGTGCGAATACTGACTCAATAAAAACGTTATACAGACGCGATTTTCATGAAAATAGAGATTTTTCTATTTTTCTATTTTCATGATTTAAAAACAATCCAAATTCTAACCTCAAAAAAATCAAAAACTGTCATACTTTAAAAAACTTACGCTGTGGCTAGAGGCACGTTAACGTGCCGCGATCCGATAGGTTATAGGCACGGTATTAGGTATGAATCAAAACAAAATTCTAACCTAAAACGTAAAACGTCTAAACTTTCACCTTCCTACATTTTTTGTTTGTGGTGGACTGTTGAGTGTTGTGTTGGATCAGTTAGGTGTAGAAAATGGATGTAGTTAATTCTGGTAGTAGGTAGGTACCTTAATAAAATATTCTTTAATAATTACTGTTACAGGTAGTATTTCGATTCAAACTAATGAAACTAGTGGAAGTCAAAATGATAATATCTATGTAGGACGCAAATTTGGATCATATGAACAACTTACACAATTTTTGAAAAATTATGAGATGCTTAATAAACAAAAATTTTACAAAAAGAGAAGTCGAACAATTAAGGCTGCTAGAAAATTTCTTAAAAGAGAGTTGAAAGACTCATTAGAATTCTATGAACTTGAATATAAATGTATTCATGGTCGAGAAAGAAAGAAACGGGGAAATGGATTGAGGAAAAGAAGGTAAGTGAAACGTGAAAACACAAAAAAAGTGCCTATTTATTAAAGTAGTACACTACTAATACTGATTGTTAGGTAGGTACCTAGGTATTTACCTTCCTCATTCTTAGTAAGTATCGAGGTAAGTATAATACCCAATTTTAAAATTATTATCGTATACATTTTCAGTACCTTACGATTGGGATGTGAGGCCAATTTCAAGTTAAAAGTATGTTCTGTGGGACAATATTTGGAAATCCATAGTGTAAATTTGAATCATGATCAATCTAAGGTAAAATATTGACTAGGGGGGTCCATTAAGTGTGAATAAAAGCTAATATTTTTTTCTATTAGGATGTTTTTGAACATCTATATACAAATCGAAAATTAGATGAAGGTGAATTAGAAAAGGTAGAAACCTATCTTTGTTTGGATGCAAATAAAAAGAAAATCCAAAATAGAATCCTTCTAGAGACTGAAAAAAAAACAACACTAAAGGATTTGTACAATATTCACTATAAATTGAAGATTGATAGAAATGATTTGGAAGAGGCAGTTATTTTATTGAAAACTAAATATTGTAAGTTGTAACAAATCCATTAATATTAGAGCTAATCGTATCCATTATATTGCACTTTCCAAAAACCCTTTTTTTAACATTTATGTTATCAACAGGTTGCAATGTTCATGTTTTGTGTGATGATGAGAAAAATTTCAAAGCTCTACAATTCAAAACTGAAGATATGAGAAATGCTATGAGTGCATGGCCAGAATTTGTAAGCGTGGATGGGACATATAAGTTGATAGATATTGGATGCACAGTTTTTCTATTTTTGGTTGAAGATTCTAATGGGCAAGCAGAAATTGTATGTGTATCATTACTTTCGGTTGAGGATAGAGATACTTATCATTGGGTTTTCAATACCTTCAAGAATGACATGGAAACTGATAAAACAATGTGCTTCATGGGAGACAAGGATTTGATAGAACGTGATGTTATAAAGGAAGTGTATCCTAACAGACCGGTGTACCTCTGCCTTTTCCATACTTTGAAGACATTTAAGCGAGAAATTAACTGTGATAAATTGAACATATCCAGAGAGGAACGAAACTTATCCTTGGAGTATCTACAAAAATTAGCGTACAGTAATAATGAGACTGAATATGATATTTTATACACTCAATTCAAAGAATGTGTTCCACAAAGTGTATTTGCATATTTCGATAAAAATTGGCACAACATCAGGGACGAATGGCTTGTTTGCAATATGAATTATGGTAATTTCAGAAATACAGAATTTATACAAGCCAGAAATAGTTGCAAAATTACTATTGACTCCGCTAAAGAAACATACAATCAAAGAATAAAAAACAGGTTGCTGAATTGTCCAAGTAGTTCTAGGTCTTTTTGGTCTCTTGCAAAAGCTGTTGGATCTAACTTCACCATGTCATCCATACCACCACTTACAGATAAAAATAATCACTTAGCCACAACATCAGAGGAAAAAGCCAATATGCTTGCCCAAATGTTTTCCTCCAACTCCAACCTAACAGTGCCAAACGGAAAAACTCCACCGTTCATTGAAAGGGTTTCCCATAGTATGCCAGAGGTACCCTTTTGTCACAGAGAAATACGAAAATCCTTAAAAAAGCTGGATACAAACAAAGCAATGGGTCCGGATGGCATTCCCGCAATAGTACTCAAAAATTGCGCCAACGAACTCACCCCAACTTTCGCAAAATTATTCAATTTGTCTTACAGGCAAGGAGTATATCCATCATCATGGAAGTCTGCCGCAGTACAACCCATTCCAAAGAAAGGAAAAAAGACAGATCCGTTAAACTATAGACCAATTGCTCTACTTCCGGTGATATCAGAAGTAATGGAAAGATTTGTGAACAATCACCTAACCAAGTACTTGGAAAAGTACAAAATTATCAACGATAAGCAATACGGATTTCGAAAATATAGGTCAACTGGCGATTTACTTACATACGTCACTCACTTATGGCAAAAAGCGATTGAGTTGCGGGGTGAAACAAGAACAATTGCCTTAGATATATCTAAAACATTCGACAAAGTTTGGCATGAAAATCTGCTCAACAAGCTCAAAGCAATGGGATTATCGCCGAAACTTTGCACTTGGTTTGAAAGTTACCTAAAGGACAGATCCATTTATGTTGCACTGGATGGCCAGGACTCCAACTCTTACCAAATAAATGCTGGTGTGCCACAGGGAGCAATCCTTTCGCCAACTCTTTTCCTGATTTACATAAATGACCTTATAGATAAAACAGTAAATCCACTTTATTGCTTTGCAGACGATGGCAATGTAGTCTCCTCACTCATACCACCCACAGGTCTTTCCGCACGTGAATTCCATCATCTTAGACTAACTCAAATATCGCAGATAAATAACGACCTGGAGATAATAGAGGACTGGGGTAACAAAAACCTTGTACAGTTCAACGCGCAGAAAACCCAAGCAGCACTGTTTTCAAAAAAGACCAGCACCGGTGAGCCAAACATCATGCTATCTGGAAGTGCTGTCACATTACAGAGTCAGTTGAACATCTTGGGGGTTACTGCAGAGACCAACATGTCTTGGCACAGTCACGTGGCAGATATTGCTAAAAGGGCCTCCCAAAAGCTGGGGGTGCTATTTCGCACAAGACATCTGTACACACCAAGCCAAATGCTGATACTCTACAAAGCCCAGATTCGACCATCTATGGAGTACTGCTCACATATATGGAGTGCAGCACCCAAACATACCTTAATGCTTTTGAATACCGTGCAAAAACGAGCTATCAAGCTGATCAATGACCCCGCACTTACTCGTAACTTGGAAGGTCTCGAACATCGCAGATCTGTGGGCGATTTATCTCTCTTCTACAGGTACTATCACGGAAAATGCTCTGAAGAGTTGGCACGTATGATTCCACCGAGAGTAGCGCCTACCAGGCGAACCCGTCAAACAGACGGTAACCATGAATTTACTGTCAAACTAGAGGCACCAAGAACCTCATTATATCAGAATTCATATCTCTGGAGAACAGCATCGCTGTGGAATAAACTCCCTGCGACGGTTTTCCCTGCAGGTTACAACCTGAACCGTTTCAAGACCAACATACACCGACATTTCCGCGCACTTGCCGCTTCTCGAGCGTGATAGGACATTTCCTTGCGAGTGCGCATATCCGTAAAAAAAAAAAAAAAAAAAAACTACAAACAATAGAATGGAATCAATTAACTATAAAATAAACAAGTGGTTCCAAAAAATTCAACATTATTGAACTTTATAAAAAGCTTTTTCATTTTTCTGCAGAGTAATAATCAAGAACGCGATATCAGGGCAGCTAATCACATTCTTAAAAGATCTTTACAGCAATTTCAAAAACACAACGAAAACCTGAATAATTATTTAAATTTCTTAACAAACTACAGTTTCACTTATGTACAGGAACAAATTAACGCATTGGAAAAAGTTAAAATAATTAATGAGCTTGAGAATAATAACTTTGAAGTTGCAACTTCAAAAGGAAAAATGTATGCAACCCTTGAGAGTTGCCAATGTAGGGATTTTAAATCAATGATGTTACCTTGTCGACACATTTTAGCTGTGAGAAATAAGAAGCAAATACCACTATTTTCAAAAAAATTGTGTCATATTAGATGGACGAAAAACTATTATTTATCTAAACAAAGAGTTGGTGTAGAAAACACAAATACTGTCGCTGAACCTCACTGTTCAATAAGTAAAAAAAAGAAAATAATGACTGTAACAGAAAAGCGGAAGGCGTCTACTCTTGTAACTAATTCATTAGTCAATCTAATGAGTCTCACAAGTAACAGTGAATTTAGCTATAGAATAGAGTTATTGAAAAAGCTTGAACATTGTTGGAAAATTGGCCAGGAAGTAACCCTTGAAATAGTAGGGAGCCCTTCTATAAATGGGAA